CCATCACCACAGCCCACCACTACCACCACCACCACCACAAACCACCACACCACCTCCACCACGACAACCACCACCATCACCACTCACTACCACCCACCACCCACCACCAGCACCGCTACCAGAAGCAGCAGCACCACCACCAACACCACAGCCCACCACCACCACCACCACAAACCACAAACCACCACGCCACCACAACCACCACAACCACCACTGCCACCACCAATACCAACACCACCATCTCCTCAACCCACCACCACCACCACACAACCACACAACCACCACCACCACAACTACCACCACCACCACCACAACAACTCACCATCGCCACCACCACCACAACAACCCACCACCACCACAATCTATCACACCACCACGCCACCACCGCCACACCCATCACCATCACCACCACAACCCAGCACACCACCAGCACCACAAACCACCAAACCACCAGTAACACCACAACCACAACCACCAACACCACCAGCACAACCGTCACAAACCACCGCCACCACCACCGCCACAAACACCACCACCACAACCACCACACTACAAACAACACCACCACCGCCACCACCACAACAACAACCAACCACCACCACCACCACAAACCACCACCACACCACCACCGCCACCGCCACCACCACCACAAGTCACCAGCAACCACCACCACAACCACTACAACCACAACAAACCACCACACCACTACCACCACAACCACAACCACCGCCAACACCACAACCACAACCCACCACCACCACGACAAACCACCACACCACCACCACCACGACCACACCACCACCACCAGCCACCAGCAACCACCACCACAACCACTAAAACCACAACAAACCACCACACCACTACCACCAAAACCACCACCACCGCCACCACCACAACCCACCACCACCACAACCACTACCACCACCACAACCACCACGACAAACCACCACACCACCACCGCCACCACCACCACCACCACTTTAAGACAGCACCACCACAACTACCATCACCGTCACCACCAGAAACCACCGCAACACCACCACCACCGCCACCACCACCACCACCACAGCCTGCCACCACAACCACCACCACAAACCACCACCGCCACCACCACCAACCACCACCACACCACCACCGCCGCCACCACCACCACCGCCACCACCACCACCACAGCCCACCATCACCACCTAAGAGAGGCCGCAAGAGACGCCCAAGAGGGGCCCAGGAGGCTTCACAAATGCACTTTCAGAGGCCCCCGAGAGCCCTCCGACGAGACCCCAAGAGGCATCCGTTAGGACTCTGACCCCAAACCAAGGCACGGTGGCGGAGCGTCGTCGTCGTCGTCATCGTCGTCGCCGTCGTCCTCGTCGACGCTCCCCGCCGCCGCCGCCCGCCGCCACAGGCGCCGGCGCCGGCCCATAAAAGGAAGTCGTCGCCCCCGCCGCCGCCGCCAGCCGCCGCCGACGCAGGCGCAGGCCCGAGGAACAGGAAAGAAGAGAAGTAGGTAAGGGGGGGGGGCTTCCAAACCCCCCCCCCCCTCCGTCACGGGACGGGGGGGGGGGTTCGAACACCCCCCCTCCGTCCAAAGGGGGGTCCGGTTCCAACCCGCCCCCCCCTGCAAGCGACCACAGAACGAGCTGTTTCCAACATCGACATCAACAACAACATCAATATACACATCAACATCAACATCAATATCATCATCATCACCATCATCACCATCATCATCATCCTCATCATCCTCATCGTCATCATCGCCATCATCATCATCATCGTCATCATCATCATCATCATCGTCATCATCTCCAACGCACGACTCTCACACCCTCGCACAGTCTCCATTCAGAATGCTGGGATCGCACGGCGGCGGGCCTTACCGCAACCAGCTTGATATGTTTAGCATTGACCGCGACATGCGGCTCCCCAAATTTTTCGCCTGACGGCGCAATCCGAAAATTAATCTCACCGGATCACCAAATTCCCCGGCGATGTCCTCCGTGGTGTGTGTGTGTGCGTGCGCCGAAAACCTGCTCAATGCATTTCCCCGCGGGGCGCCCCGCCCAAACGGTGGGGGAGTCTGCTAAATTCAAAATGGGTTTCCTCGAGAATTTGCCGACGGCGGGTGGTGGGCGTATATGGGTTGTCCCCGTTGCCATCGGCCTCGGTGGAAAAATTGAAAGATAGGGAAGGAATCCCCCCAGTCCTTTGGGAGTAGGTTGTCGAGGCGGGCTCCTCGTCCAACCCCCTTCTTCCCCTTCGGGGATTGGCTTACCCCTCCCCCTACTCCCTCTCTCCTGGACCTCGACGGGCGCCCCGCGAAACGTCAGAGGGTACTGTTTCGCCCCATGACGACTCCAAGAGGGCCCCAGAGAGCCCGCAATGACCTCCAAGACGGCTCAAGATAGTTTGAAAGGGGGTTGGGAGACAAAACCAACAGTTTCGCCTTAGGCGAAGCCCAGCTCCCGCTCTGTTGTACCGCAGTAGCGATAGTCCCAGTAGTAGGGGGCGAGAAATCTCGAGCAGTATTTTGGCATCGATGGCAAATAATACACCTCGCGCTGACGTGTGGTCAGATCTGAGCGGCCGGCCGCTTGAGCCACGCGGCCGCGGGCGCGCGTTCGCTTCCGCCCCTTGTGTCCCCAACTCACTTTAGAGTCGGGGAGGGGGAGGGGGACGAGGCGTGAGTCCGCCGCCCCTATGCAGCAAGCGCAGCAGCTACTATCTACACAAGGGCAGCAAAAGGGCGGGGCCGTTTGGAAGGTGGACCCGCACGGAAGTTGCCTTGCCTGTACGATTCTGTACATAAGATACCCCTCAGGCGGCCGCAGAACAGGACGTCTGGCCAGCCCGATAGAGAGTGTGACTCTTTAAGTCATGTTTGAAGGATTGTATACCTCCCATGACCTGTAGGAGCATCTCTCTGTTGATGCCCCCCTTGGTGTGACCGACCGCAGTCATATCGCGGGTGTCGCACCACTGAATACTGTGCACGACTCCACGCTCCATCATCAATCGTATCCAACTGATGTGTCCTAAAAGGGTACACCCAGTCGGCTTCTTCAAGTCTTTGTTTGACAAGGACTTTAAAACATATTCAGCATCTATGGTCAAAGCCTCAACCCTTCTATTCCTGACATTCGCCCCTCTCTTTCCGCTGCGCTGCAATCGGAGAGACATCTAAAAGACCTGCTGTGCATCTGGGGCCTGTCTGCCGCTGAAGATGGATGCGGCTGGCAGGTACAAGAAAGACGGAGCCTCTCTAGAGGCTCGGACTGGCACGGCAGACTCAGTAACCAAGGCGAGGGCTGGCCACGGGGGAGAGAAAGGACTGCGGAAAATGCGGGAGATCGGCTTTATGGACCAAAGCCTCAACCCTTCTATTCCTGACATTCGCCCCTCTCTTTCCGCTACGCTGCAATCGGAGAGACATCTAAAAGACCTGCTGTGCATCTGGGGCCTGTCTGCCGCTGAAGATGGACGCGGCTGGCAGGTACAAGAAAGACGGAGCCTCTCTAGAGGCTCGGACTGGCACGGCAGACTCAGTAACCCGTCACCCCATTCTTCGCAGCAGTGCTGCGCTCCCGGCTCAGCTCCGACACGATCAGGGAGAACGAACTGAAAACGACAACGAACAAGTGCGAGACCAGGCGGATGACCACCGACTCTTGGAAGCCCACAGGGACCTGGATGAAAGAGAGGATCACGATGGGGGCCTCATGGAGCACCATATGGAAGGCCAAGACGAAGCAGGGATCCCGTCGCGAACCCACGTAGCAGCCTGTGGCCCCATCCAAGATACCTGAGAGCCCATCTGGAAGATCCCCGTTCTGGTCGCCTCTGGAGGTTCGGACATATATGTAGTAGAGACCAGTTCCTGGAGGTAGATGAGCATGACTTTCTGAGACATCCAACGACCCCTTATTTTAGACGAGATGCGGATCATCCGTCTCCAAGAAGAGCTGGGTGGCGCCACCCGCACGGAGAGAAGCAAGATCGAGCGCTCCTCGGCATTTCCCCCCTAGGTTGAGAGGGGGCCGCAACTCCCGACACAGGCTGTTGAACCGCTTCCTGAAGGTCTGGCCGCTCATCGGCCAGAGCATCGCATCAGGAGGTGCGGCGCCGATGATGCAGTCCAGCATCTCGACGATGTCGGGCGGCTCGACTCGGGCGCTCTGGACCTTGGCCCCAAGCGTGGCCGTCTTCGGGAGTTGGATGGTGAAGAGTGCGTACGGCCTCTCGAAAAGGATGTCACGTGGCAGTACGAGCTGGGCACGCTTCGCCAGCAGAAACTCGCTCGGGTACTGGCCAAACTCAACCAGAACTCCGTTGATGATGCGAGGGTCCCCCATTGTCTGCTCCAGCAAGCTCCCAAGACAAGGATAGCCAGCAATCTCCACTAACCAAAGGTCGAATTCAGTAAGTAACTTTTCTCTGGAACGGCGAGTGGCCGCACGAATCGGACGCCCTGAAGGCAAAGGAACTGCGCGACGATTAGCAAACTCTGGATCATGTTTAGCGAGACGAGACCTTCCAAAATCTGGCATAGCGGGGCTGGGGAGACCTCCTGCTGGCTCACAAGTAGTCGCAACCAGAAACACGAAGAGGATACCAGTTCTGCTCCAAAATGGTGCACCCGCCAGCGATACGCACGTACAGGTGTCAGTGATGCAAGAGCCCTGCACGATGAAACACAGGAGCGAATTCACTCTTCTCTGACTTCACTGGGACGCGAGCCACTCCAGTGGCCGCCCAGCGGCCTCCGCCCGAGCCTTGCCCAGGCACCCCGCAGAGGGCGGGAGCAGGAGCCAGGCGACGACCCTCGGCAAGGGCGGTCCGCAGCGCTCGAAGTCCGCTGCTCCCCAGCAGCAGGCAGACGAGCCGCAGCCACGCAGCGCAGGCCTTGGCTGTGGGTAGCCGCGTGAGCAGCCAGTCCAGCAGGTCCGCGTGCTCCAGCCAGTCAGGCCTCGGGCGGCATGCTGCGCGGACCGCCTGGCGCCGCGTCGGGTCGTCCGCAACGTTGAGCCGCGAAGGGGCGAAGGAGTAGGAGGGGTAGAGGGACCCGGCGATCTGCAGGGCGCAGGACTTCTCCAGAGGACGCGTCAACGCCCTGCTCGAGGACCGTCCCTTTGCCTGAGAGCACAACGTGACTCTGGAATCAATAAGCGCAGCGAACCTACGATCTCCACCATTACGAACAAGACCCTCCAAGAGATCCACCACGACATTCGACTCCAAGATGTTAATGTGCCCCGGGGACCTCCAGGCCCATCCCCTGAGCTCCTCCCAAGACCCCGACATCAGCAGCTCGTTGATCACAAGCCGCTCGGAGCCCACCGGGGGCCGCATAGTATCGCCTACCTCACGACGCCGTCTGATAGCCTCCAGGTACCGAGCTCCCAATGCCACGACGACCCCACGGGTATATGTAGCAGTGTATTTGGTGGCCGCTCCCTCGATAATCGTGTGCGCGTGGGCGCGGTGGCGCCGTGTGTTAGGACAGCGCGCCGCCATTTCGGTGAACTCGGGGAAGCCTACGGTCATCCAGCGGAATTCCTTGCGGTAGACGACGACTCCATCGAGGGAAGGGTCATGGTAGGCACAAGAGGCAAACCAGGTCTCGGCGGCTCCAAGCTCCAAGAGGCGAGACCACTCCCGCAGCCAAGCCATCTTAGACAGGCGAGGCTGCTCCAGCCCACCAGGGGCCTCTACGCGGAGCCCTACCAACATCAGTAGCATACAGCGGAAGGCCAGTAGATTCCCCAAGCGCGTCTTGGGATCCGTGCGATTGAACCCGATAGGCTGACGGTAGGAACGGACAGCGGGGTGAGCGGCAGGCGAGAACGTTGTACACGGAGGCTCTGCGGCAAAGGTAAGGATGCGGCCCTCATACAGCATCCACACCGCCCATTCCATCAGACGACGCGACGATAGGTCATAGTGCCGAGAGTACGATATGTCAATGACAGGGCCGACAAGGACACCCTGGGACGCGAGGTACCGAGTGAGGACACCAGAGCCGCCGGCAAACTCAATGAAGTCGAAGACCATGGCGATCCCGCGGCGGACGAACGTGGGGAGATCCGACTCGACGCACTGCGCGCTCTCCATGCTGTGCGGGAGCGCGCCGGCACTCCGTAGGACTCCACAGGCCCGGCTATCCAGTCGGGAATACCCACCTCGGCGTTCACCACAGCGCCAAACGGCCGACGACAGCGCGGGCGAGACTTCTAATGTACAGATGGCCCCAAAGGAAGGAGAGGCGTCGGTAGCATAGATTACGTCACTGAAGGGGACGGTTAGGTCCGTCTCCGCGGCGATCGACAACGCAGAGGCCAAGCTGAGCTCGTCCTTGACAGCACGAGGGATAATGTGATCAATGGTGCGGTCCTGGGCAACGAAGCTGTATACGTGGTTGAGGCAGACGAATAGGGGGCGACGGTAGGCGAACACTGCACCCAAGGACCCCACCAGAGTATCCACCAGCGCCACAGGAGCTCGCGGAAGCTGAGCTGCCCGAAGACAGAGCTCCGCCAACGGCAGTCGCCGCTCGACGGACGCACCCACTGGTACGTACCCTTGATCTACCATCCGAGCTGAGGAGTCGACCTCAGCGCCAACGACCACGAAGCGCTCGGCGTCCCTGACCTCCTTAGAGGAGCTGCCTGATAACGAGGAGTCTACGTAGGCCAGGCGCCCAGCACGATCGAACAACTCCAAATCTCGACGAGACTCGCCTGGAGGATAAGCGTGACGCCCAATAACAAGGTAGTCGTCGATACAACGACCATCTATGAAGTTCTCGGGCGCAAGCAGGCCGTAGCTCCTGAGAAGATTGAGGTGGCCGCCCTGAGCCACGTCGACGGCAGTGTGGTCCCCCATGGGATTGGAAGCCAGAGTGCCGTGCACGAGCCCCGAGCCACGTGGACCAGCATCAGGTCCAGACGCTTCCAGAAGAAATCGGTCTCCCTGAAAGGCACGACGACCCAGACGACCTGGGCGGCCCCCTGCAGCAGCAGAATGAAAACGATCAGGATCGACACCAAGGGACTTGTGAAGTTGGTCTATGGGCAAGGCTGGGCCCAGGACGTTTGTGGCGGCGCGCTCAGGTGTGACGTGCTCCTGATAGAACATATCCCGACGGTCCGTAGACGAGCCCCGTAGACATTCAGAACCCCGAACAACACTAAGTTCACAGAGCCGAGCACCTGCAGCAAGGTGAGAGGCGGGTCCTCCCACGATCTTCCCCTCCTGGCCGTTCGGTCCCCTCCGGTCGATGATCAACCGGTCCCGCGAGGCGTTCTTCCACACGTTGAACGGGTTACACTGCTCATGGGCCGCCACAGGGCCCTCGGTGAACCCAAGGAGCCCTGCCTTGTCCAGCTTCTGGAAGAAGGCCAACTGCTGGGCCCGGGGGAGCTTGCTGGCGTCCCCCCACTGGTACGACGACGGGTCCACCCGGCTAGTACGCAGGACCCCCGGCTCGTCGAAGGCAAGCGACAGCGGAGGCTCCAAGAAATCCCCGATGGACCAGTGAGCGAGAGGCCCCCCAAGGACCAGACGTTCAGGACAGAGAGGGGCGTAGGCTCCAGGGACAGGGTGAACTCGACGGGGGCCCTGAAGTCCGCACGGATCAACAGCTCTGAGATGATCTGAAAGCGCACGTGCATAACTGTCATAGGCACTTGACTGTTCAACGTCCACTTCACCGACACTGCGAGAGGTCAATTCTCCATGCTCCTGAAAGGCACCAATAGCATCGCTAAAAAGATGTGAAGTAGAATCGGCTTTACGACCAGCGAAGAGTGGGTAGGGGTTAATTCCATCACGACACCAGCTCCAACATATCAAACGCAGACGGTCCAGGCAAGCTTTTTGCACAGAGGACGCTGGTGACCGAAGGAGGGAAAGGTCACGCGGCCGAGGCGGCCGCCCCTCGTAGACGTAGTTCAGCGCGCACACGAGGACGAGGAGCAGCTGCTCGACCTTCGCGTCGAGGTCAGCGTAGCCTCCCTCCCTGCGAGCCGCCCCTTGCAGCCCATCAACAGGAGGAAGAGGAAGTGGGAAGACTGGCGCGGTGCGCGATGCCCCAGCGAGCTGCCGCTGCTGAAACTGCGCTGCAGCGCAAACGGAGGCTCCGATGTACGAAGAGAAGTTCGTCCTCAGAGCCCGCAAACGACGGAGTAAGGACCCGCTCCACGAAAGCGGTGCGACCACTTCACCACGCTGCTGGTCATGATGGCGAGGGTCGGCAGGTCCTGGCCAGAAGAGCCGTCCGTCAGGGGCTCCTCCTGTGTCCCCCTCTCGGTCAGGGGAGGCCCTCAAGCCGGCGATGCCGGCTTCGGCCTCCTGCGGGGCGGCCGCGGCTTGGCGCCGGCCTCCGCGGCCCCGCCTCCGGGGCCGATCACACCGGCGCCTTCGGGCTGCGGCTGCTCGGGGGCCCCGCGGGCTCTGGGCACCGGCGTCCGCCCCTGGGGCCGCTGCAGCTCGCTCCTCCTGGTCTCCAGCAGGTCCAGCTCCCGCAGGTAGGCGAGGTTCACCGTGGACCAGCGCGGGTTCGCCAGCGAGCTGAACTGTCGTGTCCCCACTGCGGACTGCCCGCCCCTCGCAAACAGCGAGGCGGGCGGGTCGCGCTCGAACTGGTACAGCCACATCATGTCGAGCCTGCCTCCGTCGATCCTGGCCTGGTCCAGGCCCATCAGCAGCAGCGCGGCGGAGTCCGCCGCCTCCGCGATCTGATTCATCCACAGGCGGTCCACGATGTCCGCCACCTGCCACGCGATCAGGGCGAGGTCCCGCACCGTGTTGGGACTGCCTGGCGTGAACTCCGACCACCCGCCCGTCCTCTCGAGCCATAGGCGGGGCTCGGGAGGGTCGTAGGCGACGCCCCGGGGCTGGCGCGAGGAGCGGCCCTGTGCGGCCATGGCCTCCATCAACGACCTGGAGAAGCTGCCGGGCGAGGTTCGCCTCGCCGCGATGAGCGCCTCGCGGTGGGCCGTGCCTCGCACGCCGGCGCCGACGTTGCCTCCCCCGAGGCCCATGAGGTCGCCGTTGCCTCCGGCACCGCCTTCCTCGCCGCGCTGGCTGAAGGCCCGGGCAGCTCCCATCAGCGCGGCCGCGAAGCGCTCCATCTCCGTGCCGCCCCCGGCCGCGTCGTCCTCGCCCTCCCCGGCGAAGTCCTCGCCGGTCCCCGGGAAAGCCCCTGCGGGCGCGGCCGTAGTCCGAAGGCCACGCAGCTCGGGTCCAGGGGGGGCTCCGTGACGACCCAGGACGGCCTGCCAGGCAGCCGGCGACTCGAAGTCCGCGGCTCCGCTGCGTGAGGGCGGCCCTGGTGGCGGCGCTGGGCGGCCGAAGGCCGACGGCGCTGGCGGAGGGGCGACCCCGAAGGCCGTGGGCGGAGAGCGCCCCGCGAGAGCGCCTCCGCTCCCCAGCAGTGGAGCCGCTGCCACCTCCCCTGCTGCGGCGCGAGCCAGCGGCCCTCCTGGCGGCGCTGCCCGCGGGGGCGCGGGCTGCGGCGGGCGCTGCAGAGGAGGCGGCCTCCCAGCCCGCTGCGGCGGCGGCTCGAGGGGCCCGTCCGACTCCGCGAAGCCGTCCCGCAGCACGCCCGCCACCTCCGCTGCCTCCTCCTCGGCGGGCTGCTCGGAGCTCCCCCCGACAATCACCGCGGACTCGGCCTCCTCCTCTCCGGCTGTGAAGAACTCCGCAAAGGCCTCCTCGCCGAACTGCGAGCGGAAGGCCCGCGAGGACTCCTCCAGCACCGTCCGCCCATGCGGCCAGTGCCGCGCCCGCGGGGTGAAGTGCCGAAGGACCCGCTGAGCGTGCTGCCCGTCCTCGTAGTACACGGCCTCCGGCACCAGCTCCGTCAGCACGCCCTCCTCGACGTCCACAAGGAGGATCTCGAACGACACGGTGGCCAGCGCACTGGCGGGGTTGGCCAGCCCTGCGCCTCGAACTCTGGCCCTGACGAAGGGCCCGAGGGCATGGTCCTCCTCCTGCTGGCTCGCAGCGAGCTCGGTCTCGAGGATGCTGCCCCCTGGGGCCGCGAGCATGAGACCACCCCGACGCCGGCGTACCAGGGCAGCTGCGCCCTCCTCCTCTTCTCGAAGCCATATGAGACGGCTGTAGGAGTCGGGCGCGTCGCTGATTGCAATCACACCATCGACGGTCCTGGCCTCCATTACAATTGATATCCAGCGAGCCGCCGACGATTGACAAGACTGTTCGGTGCCTGCACCTGATCCTCGAGCCTCCTCCGAGCGGCGGCGTGGTCACGCCGCCACCAGGCCAGGCCCGCGGCAGCTGTGGAGCAGCCCAGGCAGCAGAGTACGCAGCTGCCCCCGACCACGAAAACGAGCACGAGCCCCCACAGCGGCCAGCCCTCCCGGGGGCAGGCGCACGTGAAGGCGGGCTGTGCCCCCACGGCAGGGGCAGGGCTGCCCGCAGCCCGTCCGAGTCCTGACAGCCAGTAGCCCCCCGCGGCGGCCAAGGGCACGAGGACGGCGGGGCCGAGCGCGCTGGCGCCCAGGGCGGTGGTCGCCAGGACCACGTCGACCATGCGCGGGCGCCCAGCGCGAGGCCCCCCCCCCTCCTTACGAGAGAAAGGACTGCGGAAAATGCGGGAGATCGGCTTTATGGACCAAAGTGACCTTGATGCGCAGGCCACCAAATTCAAGTATGGCTTTCAACCTGAGTAGGAGTGAGCGGCCCTGCGTGGAGCTCGTGCAGAGTCACGCTCGTGGGGTAACAGTCCTCCAAAGTACCGGCAGCTGCTAGTGTCTCTGCTGAAAAGCTCGAGCGGCATTGCAAGCGGTGAGACTTGCAGTGCGCGTCGATCAAGTGGGCGACGGGCTTACCAGATGGCGTGTTTCCACGCCGTAGCAGGTTTGCCCCGCGAATACCATAGCCCTCGACGTCGTCATCGGCATCTCCACTCAAGCGTCGGTAACCTGAGTCTCTGTGCAGGTCGACCTCGCCCGTAGGGGTCATCGCCTGATAGGCGATCTTCTTGGGGCAGGCCTGCAGTTTCCTGGTGATCGCGCTCAGTCGTCGCACTTATATATTGGTCAGTTCTTGGACGCGTTGTAGAGATACAACATGCACCATCAACCGCGCCTGGGTGATTAATGCGTACGCCAGCGCGCCTCTGAGGCCGACGAACATGTCTGCAACCATCTTGGGTGCCTGAGCGTCAGCGTCGGCGCGGGTAGATTCAGGATGTCGTATAGGACGGAGATGCTTGATGTATTCGTCTTGGTCCAAAGTAACATTGCCGTCCTCATCCTTAGTGCATCCCACAACACAATTGGTGCATGTGTGCTTGTTGAATTTACACTTGCCAAACCTGTCCTCTACGCACTTGACACACTTGCCAATGGTGTCCTCAGTGCCGGCCATGTTGATGTCATCAACATGCGTGGCCAAAAGCAGGTTGCTGCTCGTCTCAAACCCTCTGAGGGTCCTTCTGAGCTTTAGTGAGAAAGCTCGAGGTGCGTCTTTGGTGCCAGTGCCTGGTTCAAGACACTGCAAGCAGTGCTTTGGCTCGTCGTAGCGTTCGAACCCTGGGAGAGTCCGAAGCACCGCGGCCGATCCAGGCGGAAGAGCAAAACGCACCACACGTTCCTTGTTCACCAGTTGCCTCAGCAAGTTCCTGGTAGGTCAACCCTTCTAGGAATGCCATGTTGATGTCGAGAGAAGCAATAACCCATTGCTCCTTGCACGCTGCCGTGCTCGCGAGTAGTCTCTGGCTTGACCGCCGCGCTGTTCCCGAAACGGTTTCCACGTCGAAGGCTTCAAGGCCCATGGAGCCCCGAAACACCAGGCGTAACCTGATGGTGCGTTCCATATCACCCTTCTCGTTCTTCACAAACTTTCACGTGTGCACGTACTTCGAAGTCGTGATGTTTGACGCTTTAGATACGTCTTGCATTTTGAGACACTTGTTGCCGAACCATGTCTTGAGCTCGGTGTAGAGGGCCTTCGGTACTTTCTCGGGATTCGCCTGGACGTCAGCCCTCGCGAGGCCGTCGTCTTCCGTGACGACCGCAGCTCGCTTTGCAGCGGCGGTAATGTATACTCGCATAGTGGTCACACGGTCGACATCTAATATCATGTGCTGTGGTTCGGACAAGACTACCTGTGACATTTCTGCCGTGCGACAGAGTTCTGCAGATTGTTCATTTTCGTCTGGGTCCAGTCCGTAACTGCAATCTTCGACCATGGAGCACAAAGGGGCATGATACGTCTCCTCGGCGTCGGAGCCGCGTGAGTGCCCCCACTTAGGCAGGGGGCCCCGCTGTTCTGCAGCTACAGTGAACAGCGCTTTCTGGCTTGAACCATCCGCGTGGATATCGCGAAACGATACTCTAGTGGAGTTACCTCCAGCAGTTCCTTTTCATCTTGTAGCTCGGCATACCGCACTTCCATGACGCGTGACTCGAGATCAGCCACTGATTGCTCATAAATCGTGGGAGGCCGTCCATCCTCCTGTGGTGGTTCGGCTTCTGAGGCTTCTCCTGCAGTTTCATCCGTTGCCGGTGCATCTGCCAACTCTTCAAACATTGCAATGTCCTGGTCAACGCCTGCTTGAGGTTTGGTGGACTTCAGACACTGGATAATTATAAAATGTGCTGATCCAGTTATAATCGTGAATGTTCTGAACGGTGCCTTCTGCTTCATAATAATGAAATCCTGGATTCACATCGTTGTCATAGCGGGCCAATGTGCAACTGACAGCGTCAGCAACCGGAGGTAGCTTATGAATACTCTTGGCTAAGCTGACCGAAACTATGTTCTCGATGCGGGAGAAGTGTCTGATAAGGTATCGTAAAGCTAGGTGTACTTTAGGAGATAGACGGCTTGCATTTGTCATCTGAAGCGTCCCCTTTTTGGTCGGTACGTCGCCAAATGTCATAGCAGGTCCCCCCGCAGGTAAACTTGTCACGAACGTCAACACTGTCCGTTGTGCAGTGTTGTCGAAGCCAATTTCTCTGGCTATGAAAGCTTCAGTGTCGAGTGAATGTCGTGCATCGCCGTGCTGTAGCTGAACATCGCGGCTTCCCACTCGAATGATGACTTGACCCCTTGTCGGATTCGTTCCGTACGACTGGGAATGGGCCATCCCAGCCTCCCCAATCGTCCTTCGTGGTTGTGGGGCGATGGTAATCAACTAGATCTCCTTCATCGTAGTAATGCAAGCCGGTAACAGTTGTCATGGTGCAAAATGCACCATTGGTCATGGCTACTGCTGTGGCCTGTGTGATAGCTTCAATGCATACCTTGCGTATCATCTGTTCACGAGAATGATCCGACGTTTCCGTCGGCTGTTCGTGATCCAGGACAGGTAAGTCAGGGAGCATTGCTGGTTGCCGTCCAAACAGGGCGCTGTATGGAGACCCCTCGTTGTAGAAGGTAACGCGCTGGCGGCAAACAAGGCCTCACGCAGTGGTCGTGTGAACACAAGAGGCATGGCATGAAGTAGATGGAGCAATCAGCCATGTCTGGCTTCGGTCGCCGTAGCGTGTTTTGTCCACGCGCACGTATCCTGAGTTCAGTGCCCTTTGCCTTAAGGACCGCTTTCGCAATGTCGTTGTTGAGGGCGCCCTCTACGTCGGAGTAGAGTACCTTTGCAGGTCAAAACTGCATCCAGCACTGGTGGTATACATCCAGGGTGCTTGTCATCGTCTTGTCTGGTATCTCGATTCCAATCCCATATCGAATGCAACGATCAATGATAAGAAACATGTTGTGCTCTTGTTTGTAGAATATCAGATCATATTCCACTTCTTCGTTGAATTTGCCAGGCAGTGCAGTATATAGCATAACCGTATGCCCAGGCTTGTCCCAAGCCCTGCACTCCCGACATGCGTCGCAGACACCCTTGATCAGGTTAAGTCTGACGTTGTCCAGACCTATCTTGGTTGAGACGAGTCTCACCTTAGGTTTTTTCGCATGGAACCAACGCAAGTGTAGCTTCCGCAGCTCGCGCATTACCACGCTTGGGTCAAGGCTTCGTAAATGTTGAAGACTGATCTGTACATCGAACCGTGACCAGTCTGGAAGTCGTGGTCGTGCGGCAGGGTTACCCGCTGGTGGCGGAGGAGGTGCATCTCCACCTTGCTGTCGGCCATGTCTGGCTCTAACCTGTGGCAGTCAGAGGTGATCATCCGAACCCCCAGCTCCACTCGAGGCAGGTTGCCCTGCAGCAGGTTCAGCAACTTGTCTGCCTACTGTAATATCGTGGCTGCTGGCGCCCGCCGTGGGTTCGGCTCTGGAGCCGGGTCTTGGTGCTCGTAGCCGCGTAAGTGGTGGTGCGGCTTGCGCCTCGGGTGGTGGTGCTGCTTGTTCAGCGCGAGCTGGCGGTCCTGGTCCTGCTGCTGGTTCGGCAGGGGCCGGTGGTGCCTGTCCATGATTGTCAGGCAGCTTCCACGGTTTGGCAAACTTGCATTTGCCAGGTGTCAGTACATGCCCAGGCTTGTTCTGGCCGTAGTTCTTCTTGCAACTCGGACATTCCAAATTCTAGTCTTCCTGATTGCACCACCTGCAATGATGGGGATTCCTGTCATGTGTGGGAGAGCGCATGTTAACATTATCCGCACATGCAAGACATCCAAGCTCTCCCGAGGGCGGTCTCGTGATCGAACCGTCGGGTTGCCAAAGGAGAGTTGGATCATCCAAATCATATCCCCTCACGTTGGTAACTAGCACGGTGGGGGAATAAGAGTGGCCATGGAAGGGATCACGCGGCTTACCTAGAAACGATTGTGCGCGATCTGAACTGCATCAACGAAGAGGGACTGCATCCTTGAAGTATAATGTGCAGCCATCGACAATTCTCTGTTACATACCGACGCATGTTTATGATGACCAGCATATCGCCTTCGTTCAAAAGGGGTAAGTAGAAGGCGGTGGTTGGCCATGATCCCGGTCGGTTTTCGTATCAATGCTCCATGGGAATCGCGTAAGCCAGTAGTGCCATGGTCCATATTCATCTTGCAAGTGCCCTTGCATTTGGCCAATGTAGTCCATGGTGGTATCTGATCCACCCAACTACCCACTGGTTGTTCTCGAAAAGTAAAACCTTCGAAAATCTTTCTGACGTAGAGCAACCTTACCACAAAACTTGATATGGGGCAGATCATCTTTGTGGTGTTCATGCCAGGTTCAGACCAGGTGCCGTAGTTGACCTGGGAATTGTGATATGAAGGTAGTCCAGTCGTTCTGCAGTTGGGTTGTAGTATGACAAGACTGACGAAACAAAGGTCTAGGTAGTGCATCACTGCATCCTGGACATCCTTGTTTCCAAGGTCAACAAAGGAGTGTTTGTCTAGGTTTCCCCCTGAGGACAAACATCGGCTGAATGCTAGCTGCGATAAACATCCACTTCCTCCACATAATTCCAACGTGTCAACCTTGTTGTGTCGTCCGTACCATAAGGTCTGGATTCTGGAGAATACATTTGCTCGGATTCAGCAAGTGGCCGCGCAAATAATGTGATGACAATTTCCTCTTCATCGTCGCTTTCCGTGTCGGAGTCAAGGGGTACGTCGGTGTAGTACG